GTCTTTGCTTGGGGGTCAGTCTATGCTGAGGGGTTTGTGCTGGGGGGGGGGGTCATCTGCACTGATGTAGTCTGTGCTGGGAGGTCTGTACTGGGGGGTTTGTGCTTAGGGGGTGGACTGAGGGATTTTTGCTGGGAGGCTGTACTGAGGGGTTTGTGTTGTGGATCCCTCTATTCTGAGGGGTTTTTACTAGAAAGCAGGGGGTCCATCTGTACTGAGGGGATTGTGATGGGTTGTCAGTCTGTGCTGAGGGGTCTATGCTGGGGAGTCAGTCTTTACAGGTGGATTTGGTCGAGAAGCGGGCTTTGTTTCGTGAAACGCGTTTGAATATATCAACAAAGCATCATTTCATATCTCAAGGCTGGAGCAACCTACCAATATGTAAACTGACATGTATGATGCTACTTTAACATCCTAAGTATCAGTAACGATATGTACAGCAATTAGACTACCATTTGTAGTTCTGTTCATTTAACACATCTGGATTTTTTATGACCCTCTATTTATGTATCTGATTGTAATGCTCCACCAGTATGGTGGCTTTTTAACTTAATAAAAGGTGGTAAATTCTTTTCTATTTTTGTTTCCCATTTTTTATATAGATATTGTTTCATATGGTTTAGTACCTTTAAAACCCCATTAGTTTTTCTTTGTTAGGGCTATTTTCACTGGGTTTGGTTGAGAGTCTATATTGAGGGGTTTGTGCTGGGGAAGTGGGTCTGTGTGTACTGAGGGGTCTGTGCTGCGGGAGGAGGTCTGTCTGTACTAAGGGGTCTGTGCTGTGGAGGAGGTCTGTCTGTACTAAGGGGTCTGTGCTGGGGGAGGGGGTCTGTACTGAGGGGTTTGTGCTGGGGGAAACTGTTTGTCTGTACTGAGGGGTCTGTGCTGAAGGCTTTGTGTTGGGGAAGGGTCTGTACTGAGGGGTTGGAGCTGAAGGGTTTGTGCTGGGGGAAGGGGAGTTGGTCTGTGCTGTGGGGGTTGGCCTGTGCTGTGAGTGGAGTCTGTACTGAGGGGTTTGTGCTGGTCGGTAGGCTGGGAAGGAAAATGTTAGGGGAAATCTGTACTGTGGGGGTATGGGCTTGGGAGGATGATTTGCTTTGGGAAGAGGGAACAATTTTGGTTGTACTTTAAAATAGCCTGTGTGTTACACACTCTTGACCCATGCACTACAGACACTGAGGGGAATTTATCAAAATTGAAGCAACCAGAATCTAAGGCAGTTTTTTTTAAATTAATAAACAGACACTTACCAGCCCAGGAATTCAGCACTATTTTTAACCAGGCTGATCTTTGGCTCTCCAGTGCCGCCATCTTTTCTGTGGGAAGTCAGTTGTGACTTCCTGTTGTTTCATCATCTAGTGCAGAGATAGGCTGACTCTGAGACTACAACAGTTTTTTTTGTGACATACAACAGTTTTTGGGTGTGAAAAGCTGCATTCTAAGCTGGTTGGAACAGTTGGAGGATCTCCCCGCCACTGCCAATCTTATCTTCAGGTCTCTAACAAACAGATGGACACCACATCACAATCATCCTCAGGGGCCTTTGCAATTGGGCTTTGATGCAACATTCATCTGCAGGTACCTCTATTAATAACTATGAATACCCTGGTATGTGTGCACAATTTACCAGGACTCCTAACAAGCCCTTTGCTGATAATACCTGTTTGTACAACGTACAACGTATTATTATTTTTTCTTATATAAAGTTGCATTATTTCTATACTGGTGTGCATCTATACACTTGTGGTTAATGTTATATGCAGATTGCAGCAGTTTTGCTCCCTATTACTTTGTTTAGATTTGTTAATTTCCCAGAAAGGGAACCCCTCTGTTCACAGAGGCCCTGTCCTGTGTGAAGGCACTGCCAATTTTATCATCAAACCCACTATTCCACTTAGTGAAGGTTCTGGTTCCCCTACTTGCCTACAGGTTTAGGGCACCATCTTAATTGGGGAGAGTAATTTCGCATAACCCCCAATAGAGAACTACACTTCATTTAGAGGTAATGCAAGCATACTGCTGCTTGAAAAAAGTCCACACAATTATAAAGCACAACAGTGTGATTTACAAATGTGCATTGCCCTCTGCCAGTGGAGAGCAATAGAAATAAACAGAAGTAGTGGGAAAACAAAAAGCCAAAAAGCCAGGAGGAGATCCGGGTCACATAACTGACTCTCCTCCAAACAGAGAATTGTTTCTGCTGCATTAAGCTGGGAAAACTTCATAGAACATTGCAAACTCCATACTGTGGCCTGTATTTATGAATAGGGAGAAAAATGCTTGCTGCATTATACAGTAGTACTTTTATATCCACTCTATATTATAAATTGTCATCTTAGTGTTCTTTTTATTTGTATTTCTTTCACCTTTTTTGTATAAGATAGTCATGTGCGTACTTTAGCTTTGAATGTTTTACTTTTTTTTTTTTGCAGGAAAATGTCAGCTAATAAGGTCCAGAATGGCCTAAAGGAGCTTTCAGTAACACTCAGGAATGATGTCATGCACCCTTATAAACAACCCAAACTACCTTAAAGTATAAATCCACTTTGTTAAGAAAAAACAAATCTTATCTGGATAACCAATTTATTTTGCAAGGATTTTAATAAACTATGTTGCAGATTCCTAGTTTTCTGTCCTGAAGGAAAGCTGTTTGTTTCACCATGTCACCACTAAAAAGATAGATTACTGAATAGGAGGTTCAGCCTTATCATTTATTTATTTCAGGTACTTATATAGCGCCGTCCATTTACGCAGTGCTTTACATATATATTGTACATTCACATCAGTCCCTAACCCTCAAGGGGTATACAATCTAAGGTCCCTAACTTTCATTCATACATATATTAGGGCAAATTTAGACAGGATCCAATTAACCTACCAGCATGTCTTTGGAGTGTGGGAGGAAACCCACGCAGGCACAGGGAGAACATACAAACTCCAGGCAGGTGGTGCCGTGGTTGGGAATTGAATCTACAACCCTAGTACTGCCAGCAGAAGTGCTAACCATTTAGCCACTGTGCTGCCAGCCTTCATTATAACAACTTGGTTCACTCTCAGTGCACTAATGAGAAAGGCTGCAGTGTATGCATCCCTTTAGTTCACAAACCTTAGAGAGTATCTCACCAAAAAGGAAATTCCATATGCAGAGGGCACTTAAAATTGCAAATGTATCTTAGTGAAGACTTCAGGGAAAACTAATCAGCCAATCACAGAGCCAGAAAATGTCATTTATGGGGGCATTCTATATAACAGAGGTGTACAGAAGTCTTCCAATTTGCATTTCATTTTTTTTCCAGAGTTTTAGAAAATTACAGCAACTGTGAATTAAAACGGAAAGGTAAATTAAAAAAATTTAATTACAAAATGGCTTGTGTTGCTATTTTGCATGGTATAATTATTCTTTATCATAAGTCGATTTTTCCTTCCACTTTGTCTTTATTTACTCCTATGTATTTTGCCAAAATGGCAAAACTTTACCAAACTCTTAAGATTTTGAAGAATACAAATTCTCACTTGTGCTCTTTCCTAGATTTAACCTATTCACAGTACACATATATGCAGCGTCACAGTGGGTGGGCTGTAACACAGAGAGGCCGCATATATGCATACCAGAATGTAAACGCAGGGCGCGTACTCTGCGTTTACATTAATGGCAACTAACGGAAAGCTCCCAATCCCTACTTGTGATTTGGAGCTTTCTGACCATGTGACAGCTGTGACAGCCAATCATGGCAGTCACATGATCAGAAACCCCACCCACCTCCCAGCATCAGGAACCCCTTAAAGGGCCAGGAGACATAGGCATTAAGGAATTAAACAGTGTTCTTACCTTTGCAGTACAGTCTTTTTAAAATGTACTGTATGACATACAAATACCCCTTGAACCTAATAAAGATACCCAGCATTGTATAATTAACGCTGATTGAAAGCTTTCTGTATACACTAGAAGACTGATAAGTAATAAATGTGACAAGAGAAAAGAGTAAGTAAGCAAGTGGAGAAAGTATAGCAAAAGTAAGTCTTCAGAGTTGAGAAATGTGTTCACAACAGAACAAATGTGAACATTTATATGCAGGACATACCTGCATAACATTTTACTCTAATTAGCATTTGTATTAATCTAACCTGATGATGATCCAGTAGAGTAGAGACTCAGCAAACATGATGTTATCATTTTATCTCTTCCAGCAATACATCACTCCTTTTCCTGGCTATATAACAGTTAACTATCTCACAGGCCGGACTTCTAAGCGAAGGATTAAACTCAATGACCTTCCATTCACAAACATTGCCGACACAAGTCTCTAATTTAATTTACATTAAAATAAATTTGAATGAATAATTTCTAGGGAGAACCAATGAATACACAATTACACATATGTATGTGAATGATTATTGTTTTCCAGCAGTACCGAACACAACCAGAAAATCTCAGCACTTCTGTATAATAATGTTGCCCTACAGATATTAATTACACACTGGGACGTACATCTGTAATTAAGCTTGTTGCCGAAATTTCCCAAGATTGCCTTGGAACCTCTGTCGGGGGCACTGAAGTGTTTTGTTTTTGTACCTACAGTGGCAGACAGCCATGCTAGACTCTAGTGAAGCATGCAGATGAATAGATGCCCTTTTTATGCCTTTTTATGATTTCCGCGCCACTGGTAAACTCACTCGCTGTATGCAAGCAGTAGGAGTTAGATGGGGCATTGCTCATTACTGAGTCTGATGAACCATGCACAACACAGGCAGGTGCAATGCACTATTAATAATCATCATTAAATATCTAATGAAATATCTGGATTTATGAACACCTTTTAAATCCAAGGCAATCAGGAGCAATAGTGCTGTGCTTGGCTTCTCATTATCTCACATGCTGCTCCTTGAACCATGCTTGGCATAGTGCAATTTTTAAAATAAATAGCTATGCAAGAAAATAAAATAATTAAGGTATTTGGACTATGGCTTCATTGTCATAGTACCTTAAAGTGATACTAAACCCAGGACCCTGCATTCTCTATACCTGGTCTCCCACAGTACACAGAACATGGAAATGCAATTATTTTAGTAAATATAAACTGCTAAACACCTTTTCTCAGCAACAGTTAGAGCAGTCTTATGACTTCAGCAGAGCACTAGTTAAAGCTTGTAGGAGGAGCTTTCTTTCTGCTCTAGTAGTATGCGAAACCCCTGACCCTCTGTCTGAACAGTGCTGATTGGCCCTGTGCTGATCACATGCACCCTTCCCAAGGAAAAAAAACAAAACAAAACCTATCTAGCATTACACACCAAACTGAGCATGTGCATGTAACTGCTGGTTCAGTCTGTATCAGTTAGTCATTTCAAGAAGACGAGGGGCAGAAAAGAAAGGATCAAACAGCCTTTTTACACAATGCAGAGGATTAACCCCCTTAGGTTCCAAAGTGAGTATAACAAGCATGCTTTACTGCATATATAGTGAAGGAAATAAGTCAGAGGTCAGATGTTTCCTGTAGTTGGTCACCAGGACCATCTCAGGAGGGATTTTTGCCCACTCCTCTTGGCAGATCTTCTCCAAGTCATTAAGGTTTGGTGGCTGACGTTTGGAAACTTGAACTTTCAGCCCTCTCCACAGATTTTCAATCGGATTAAGGTCTGGAGACTGGCTAGGCCACTCCAGGACCTTAATGTGCTTCTTCTTGAGCCACTCCTTTGTTGCCTTGGCCATGTGTTTTGGGTCATTGTCATACTGGTACACCCATCCACGGCCCATTTTCAATGCCCTGGCTGAGGGAATAAGGTTCTCACCCAAGATTTGACAGTACATTGCCCCGTCCATCGTCCCTTTGATGCGGTGCAGTTGTCCTGTCCCCTAAACAGAAAAACACCCCAAAGCAGAATGTTTCCACCACCATGTTTGACAGTTGGGATGGTGTTCTTGGGGTCATAGGCAGCATTCCTCCTCCAAACACAGTGAGTTGAGGCCAAAGAGCTCGATTTTGGTCTCACCTGACCACAACACTTTCAACCAGTCCTCCTCTGCATCATTCAGATGTTCAGTGACAAACTTCAGATGGGCTTGGACATGTACTTTCTTGAGCAAAGGGACCTTGCGAGCACTGAAGGATTTCAATCCTTGGCGTAGTGTGTTACCAATTGTTTTCTTGGTGACTGTGGTCCCAGCTGCCTGGAGATCATTGACAAGATCCTCATATGTAGTTCTGGGATGATTCCTTCCTGTTCTCATGATCATTGACACTCCACGAGGTGAGATCTTGCATGGTGCACCAGACCTAAGGAGACTGACAGTTGTTTTGTGTTTCTTCCATTTGCGAATGATTGCACCAACTGTTGCCACCTTCTCACCAAGCTGCTTGGTGATAGTTTTGTAGCCAAGTCCAGCCTTGTGTAGGTCTACAATATTGTCCCTGATATCCTTGGACAGCTCTTTGGTCTTTGCCATGGTGGAGAGTTTGGAATCTGATTGTTTGATTGCTCCTGTGGACAGGTGTCTTTTATACAGGTAACAAAACGAGATTAGCAGCACTCCCTTTAAGAGACTGCTTCTAATCTCAGCTTGTTACCTGTATGAAAGACATCTGGTAGCCAGAAATCCTGCTGAATGATAGGGGATCAAACACTTATTTCCCTCATGAACATGCAAATCAGTGCATAATTTGTTAGACATGCATTTCTTTTGAATTTTTTCTTGCTATTCTGTCTCTCAGTGTTACAATACACCTACCATTCAATTTTTAGACTGATCAATTCTTTGTGAGTGGGAAACATTCAAAATCAGCAGGGGATCAAATACTTATTTCCTTCACTACAGACTGATTTTACTGTTGTGGGTTTAGTAACACTTTAAGCTATGTTTTTATCCTGATATAGAACTAAAAAATGTTTGGCTATCTCTCTCTCTCTCTCTCTCTATATATATATAAATATATATACTCATATATATACATATATATTATAGTAATGTCGAAAGTTTGGGCACCCCAGCTAAAAAATTTGTATTAATGTGCATATACATACATACATATACATATATATATATGTATATTATATATATATATATATATATATATATACACAGGTACTCCTCGCTTAACGACTGAGTTCCGTTTCAACGACTTGGTCGTTAAGCGAATTGGTCGTTAAGTGAGGAACTGCATGTACTGTATACAGTAGTACAATATATGCATAGTATTTGACAATACAGTATTCTGAATAAGTAAAATAACAAGAAAGATCAAACTGAAAACTTCCACTTGTCTTAATTTGCATAGGTTGTGTAATTTACACACAGTACTGGAATGTTGTATTACAGAACATAAAGTTAGCAAAGTACGGTCGTAACGGTGAAGAGATGGTCGTAAGTGCGAGCGGTCGCTAAACAGGTAGGTCGTTAAGCGAGGAGTGTCTGTACATATATATATATATATATATATATATATATATATATATATATATATATATAATGTACATATACATACAGTCAGGTCCATAAATATTGGGACATAAATATTGGGACATTGACACAATTCTAACATTTTTGGCTCTATACACCACCACAATGGACTTGAAATGAAACAAACAAGATGTGCTTTAACTGCAGACTGTCAGCTTTAATTTGAGGGTATTTACATCCAAATCAGGTGAACAGTGTAGGAATTACAACAGTTTGCATATGTGCATCCCACTTGTTAAGGGACCAAAAGTAATGGGACAATTGGCTTCTCAGCTGTTCCATGGCCTGGTGTGTGTTATTCCCTCATTATCCCAATTACAATGAGCAGATAAAAGGTCCAGAGTTCATTTCAAGTGTGCTATTTGCATTTGGAATCTGTTGCTGTCAACTCTAAAGATGAGATCCAAAGAGCTGTCACTATCAGTGAAGCAAGCCATCAGTAGGCTGAAAAAACAAAACAAACCCATCAAAGAGATAGCAAAAACATTAGGCGTGGTCAAAACAACTGTTTGGAACATTCTTAAAAAGAAGGAACGCACCGGTGAGCTCAGCAACACCAAAAGACCCCGGAAGACCACGGAAAACAACTGTGGTGGATGACCGAAGAATTCTTTCCCTGGTGAAGAAAACACCCTTCACAACAGTTGGCCAGATCAAGAACACTCTCCATGAGGTAGGTGTATGTGTGTCAAAGTCAACAATCAAGAGAAGACTTCACCAGAGTGAATACAGAGAGTTCACCACAAGATGTAAACCATTGGTGAGCCTCAAAAACAGGAAGGCCAGATTAGAGTTTGCCAAACGACATCTAAAAAAGCCTTCACAGTTCTGGAACAGCATCCTATGGACAGATCAGTCCAAGATCAACTTGTACCAGAGTGATGGGAAGGGAAGAGTATGGAGAAGGAAAGGAACTGCTCATGATCCTAAGCATACCACCTCATCAGTGAAGCATGGTGGTGATAGTGTCATGGCGTGGGCATGTATGGCTGCCAATAGAACTGGTTCTGTTGTATTTATTGATGATGTGACTGCTGACAAAAGCAGCAGGATGAATTCTGAAGTGTTTCGGGCAATATTATCTGCTCATATTCAGCCAAATGCTTCAGAACTCATTGGACACCGCTTCACAGTGCAGATGGACAATGACCCAAAGCATACTGCAAAAGCAACCAAAGAGTTTTTTAAGGGAAAGAAGTGGAATGTTATGCAATGGCCAAGTCAATCACCTGACCTGAATGAGATTGAGCATGCATTTCACTTGCTGAAGACAAAACTGAAGGGAAAATGCCCCAAGAACAAGCAGGAACTGAAGACAGTTGCAGTAGAGGCCTGGCAGAGCATCACCAGGGATGAAACCCAGCGTCTGGTGATGTCTATGCGTTCCAGACTTCAGGCTGTAATTGACTGCAAAGGATTTGCAACCAAATATTAAAAAAGTGAAAGTTTGATTTATGATTATTATTCTGTCCCATTACTTTTGGTTCCTTAACAAGTGGGAGGCACATATGCAAACTGTTGTAATTCCTACACCGTTCACCTGATTTGGATGTAAATACCCTCAAATTAAAGCTGACAGTCTGCAGTTAAAGCACATCTTGTTCGTTTCATTTCAAATCCATTGTGGTGGTGTATAGAGCCAAAAATGTTAGAATTGTGTCGATGTCCCAATATTTATGGACCTGACTGTATATATATATATATATATATATATATATATATAATATACATATATATATATACACATATATATATATATAAATAATATCTATATCTATATATATATATATATCTATATATATATAAATATACATATATATATTATATCGTAATATGTATTAGCAAAATGTCAAAGGGCCATTTCTAATGTTTGTAATAGTAAAGGTTTTTTTTCTTTTTTTAAAATAGCAAACATTTCATTCCTAACCTTTTGTGTGCAATAGTTTTTCACAAAGCAGCACCGAGCCTTGTCTTTTGGGGTCTCCCACTGGTGCTCCTTATTCCTCCTGCTTTCCGAATGCCCCCATAACAAGCCACTTGCTATAGGGGCACTTCTGCAAGCTTGATCACGAGCCAGGCAGTGTGCATCTATTGATACACACAGTGTGGCTTAGCCCTGCCCCCCCCCACCCACTCATCAATGGCTCCCACTGCTCTCACTGAGTCCACTACTCTCTGGCACAGCGCTGAATTGAGATCAGGCTCAGGTAAGTATTTGAGGGGGGGGGGCCGGGCTTCACTTTCATTACCTTAATGCATAGAATGCATTAAGGTAAAAAAAAAACCTTTAGCCATTATAACCACTTTAAGGTATATCTATTAGGAAAGTGATAGTATAAGGATTAATTATCTACTGCTCTGATGACAAGATAAAAAAGAGGCTCCCAAATCATATGACAATAATAGTGATCTGATAAATGATAGCTCCAGAAGAAATGGAGACAGTTCAGATTCTACAGGACACTGGGAGTGTGTCCTGCGTCACTGCTATGTTTCCCCATTGTTTGGGTTGTAGTACCACAACCATGCAGATTGAAAGATTATGGGGTAGTTCTGTTGGACAGGAGAGGACGGATTTACAGTACTCTCTGGATTGGTAAGTCGTCATTTGGAATCCAAAATTCAGAGGCTTGGATAGACTATGGGAGAAAGAGAATCCAAACCCTGATTACAGGGACTGTAGGGTCCTGAAAGGGTTAACCAATCTGCAGGGAGAATCCACAAAAGGAACAGGAAACAGTCAGCAGGTGCCTGTGAAGCAGAACAAACTTAAGCCCAGTTCACATCTGAGCAACTCTGCCCATGTATCCAAATCAAGCTTTCTGGGTGTTATTCATTCTTAATGGCACTCCAA